CCGAGCCTCTGCGCTTTCCTTTGTTTGCAGCGCCCGAGGGAAGCCGCGCTGATACAAAGTAGTTAAGCGCCGCCACCTGTTGCCAATCAGCAGAGCGTCCGCTCGTAGTTTCGCTTCCCCTTTTTCTCGGCTAGTGCCCGGGCGGTGAAATTGACTAGGCACGGCTGAGCGGCGCTTCGCCGTGCCGGCTGAATCTGACAGGCGGCTCAGCCAATGCTCCTGCATTTTCATGGAAGTTTGCTGGAGAAGTTTGAAGGGGACCAGAATCAATTCCAGACATTCACCGCTCAGTGTGAAATGTTTACGGCAGGCAGGCTGGTGGAGTTTCCCACTGATCGCACCGAAGTGACTTTTGTGCTGAGTACGCTGAAGGAAGCAGCAGCTAAGTGGGAAATACTGTTCATTGAGGGGAATGATCTGGTGCTGACAACTATCAGGACTTCTCATATAAACTCAAAGGACACTACTTGCAAGTTAGCCATTCTCAAGGAATATTTGGATGTCAACATCAAAAAAGGATTCATTCAACCTTCCAACTCACCAGCATCAGCACCCACATTTTTTGTCCCCCCAAAATAAGGAGCCACTCTGAAGGGAAAGGAGGGAGCCCCCGTGCATATCGTTCATGACTACAAAGACCTGAACAGTGACAATTAGAGATCATTATCCACTTCTACTTATCTCAGATCTACTAGACTGGCTACAGAAGGCGTGCATCTTTACAAAACTAGACTTGAGAAGTGCTTACAACCTAATCAGAATGACACGAGTATTTAACAGCCTTCGACACAAGATATGGCAAGTTCAAATACACAGTGATGCCTTTTGGCCTGGTTAACTGTGGAGAGCACCTTGGGAATAGCAAGAGACCAAGTAGGGAGCATAGGAAATGACCCAGCTCCTTCCACATTAGGCATACAGGACATAAAGGGGGGAGTCCAACAGATTCCTGATGGGGGGGCCATTATCACCTCTACAGGTGCAGCTGAGTTACAGGATGCCTTGTGTGATCTTGAGGAGTTACCAGCAGAAGAGGGGAGCAACACAACTACATTTAGTTCTCATAGCCCACAATCAGTTTCCCCTGGGAACTCAGCAGGGGGGGATGAGCCTGAAGATGCGGGTGATGGGAAAGACCTTGGGAGATGGGCCCAGAGACACTGCCAAGGGAACGGTCAGATAAGAGGCAGCAGAGCCCACAGCTGGATAGTGGGCAGGGCAAGAGGCTCAGAAGGGATCCCCCTAGTTTCTCGGGCTGTAAAGGGGATGGGGGGACTCACAAGATTCTGTTAAATGTAGCTTATCTGGTCACGTTTCCTGTCTGGTCTACCTAATAAGACTGACAGAAATGCATTTTTCTCCTCCTGCCCTCATCTGTGTTCAGTCATCTTTTGAACCTTTGGGGACATCCCTTCCTGTCCTGCCCAAGGCTTGGCCTCACTATTAGCCATATTGCTACAGCCAGGTCATTTGAATCAAGATTGGGCAACTTCTTGAACCTGGTGGGAGGGCAGGGAAAGGAAGGGGGACCTAGCTATCATCTCCAGCCATGAGGTCATTTTCTCCCTCCCCTGAAGAGGCCAACAGGAGACACTGTTTTCTCCACAGGGTAGGAGGGTCAGCTGAAGAGCCACTGCCCTGTCTTCTCTGCTCACAAGCAGCAGCACTGCTTAGGGTTAGTGCTTAGTGCTCTGATAAGCCCTGATGTCATGTGAAACTTTCTGATAAGAACAACCCTTCAAGGTTGGAAGTCCTGCACAGGGGATTGTGGGGGGGGGGAGGGGGAATGCCAGAAAAAACCAGGGGTAATAGCAGCTGGATACATCCCACAATCCATGGCTTCAGACTCCTGGATCTTCCTCCTCTTTTCAGTGCAACCAACATTTGCCTGTTTCTCCTAGACAAGTGGGGACAGTTGAGGGATGTTTTTGATTTGCTCAGATGGATTCCTCTCTTTTGTTACTTCAGAATGATGCTCTTGCACCAGTGGAAAGGCCAGCCCTTGCCAAGAGAAGAGCTGGTTTTCTCCCTCCAAGCAAACTTCTCTCCCACAAAAGCCAACATCCACCGAAAGAGAAGGGGAGGGCTGGGCCCAACTGGATATGGGCTTCAGCAGCTCAGCCGTGCAATGGAGTGGTGGTGGGGGTCTCATTTTTTGTGCTCCCAAGAGGACTGTTCTGAAGTCTTGGCCAGGTCAGGGCTCAAAAGAGCAAGGGAGCAGAAGGGTTCAAGAGTATGTGGGGAGGCCTGTAGGGACAGCTCCCTCGGGGGCAAGTGTGCTCAGATGTTCATCCCACCAGGATCCAAGGTCCCACTTGCAGAAGGGGCAGCGTCTTCATCTGGTGAGACAAGCTGCCCTGCATGAATGCCTTCTGCCCAACCAAGAGGAATCTGCAGGGGCACTGCTGGGATCTGCCCTCAGGCATCAGGGCCTCCAGCTGACCCACCAAGAGAAAGTCCCTTCTTGTAACCCTGCTGCAGATTGAAAATCACATTCTGCCATCTGGGAAATTGAATTCTGCAATGCTGTCCAGGAAGTAAAACTTGGGATAATCCACAGCTCAGATGCTGGATTCCCCATCCCTTCCAGTTCTGCCTCCCAATCAACTGCCAGTAGTATCTTAAGAGTCATTAAGATACTACTGGCAGTTGATTAAAAGTTAAAGCTGAAGGAGATGCTTGCAAGGATTTTGGAAAGTCTGTATTCTAAAACATCAATTCCATTTTGCAGCCTAAATAGGAGCAGTTCTTTGGGCTTTCTTGTTATGCCTTTATATTCAACACACAAAATCACATAAAGCCCCTCACCCCCCACCCCGGCTTCATCATAATGGGGGAAATGCTCTGAATGTTGATGCTGCTGTTCAAAAGAAGTCTCTGAAGGGTCCATGCTGCCCCCTTCCCTTCAACTCGCAGACCGCAGAGAGATGCGGTCTTATGTCCCGTGGACGGGCCTTCCATGACTTCCACCCCACCTCGGGGCGGGGGGATTCCTCTGGTTTTACACGGAGTAGATCCTGTGAGGCGATTTCCAGCTAGAGGGGCCGCCAGCAGGTCCCGCATGGACGGTTTCACCCTTGCCGGGACCCCTCAACTGCGGGGAGCCAGATGCCGTTCCCGGGGCACGGCTGGATACCGCAGGCGCGTCCGAGGTCGCAAAGCAACCCAGCGCAGGAGGTGACCGCGGTCGCCTCCGCTGG